ATTAGTGAAAAATGGAAGGCAGGTTGTACTGTGGTCAGTTCTTTTTGTTGCTATTATTCTGCTCACTGATAAGAAATGTATAAAGGTACTTGGTGAGGGAAAAAAGTCAGTGGTTTAGTTCCTCAGGCCTCAAGAAAGCATCATGGAAGCTAAAACCATGCATAAGCTATGGGGTTTCTATATAAATATAACTACTGTAAAGTAAGCTCATATGTTACAAAAATTATGATAATATTCATATGAGTGTAATGACAAATATTAACATAAAGACAATAATATTTGAATCAATTCAATACTAAGCTTAGCATTCACAAGCTGTTGACTATAGTCTTTTATGCAATTTTTTTAAATAATTATAATTAAAATTACAAACATATATTTATCATGGAAATATGATTCTTTGAAATAGCAACATGGAGTAGGATACCAAGATCAGGTTAATTAGTATACATTACTTTGCATGCATCTTTCTGTCCTGAGAACATGTTAAAACCTACTTCTCATCCATTTTCAAGGTGCAATAAGCCATTAAAAATCGCAGCCACATGTTAAAAAATATAGCTCTTGAATTTATTCCTTTTACCTAACTGAAATTTTGTGACTTTTTGCTTGACATCCCGTTCTAGATAGTTTTTATGTCAACTTGACACAAGCTAATGTCATCAAAGAGGAAGGAACTTCATTTTAGAAAATGCCTCCGTAAGATCCAGTTTTTTCCTAATTAGTGATTGAAAAGGGGCAGTTTCCTAATTAGTGATTGATGGAGGAGGGTCCCACCCATTATTGATGGAGCTGTCCCTGGGCTGGTGGTTCTGGATTCCATAAAGAAGCAGGCTGAGCAAGCCATGAGGAGCAAGCTGGTAAGCAGCACCCATACATGGCCTCCATATCAGCTCCTGCCTCCAGGCTTCTGCCCTGTTTCAGTTCCTGACCTGACTTCCTTCAGTGATGAACAATGATGTGGAAACATAAGCCAAATCAACCCTTTTCTCCCCAACTTGCTTTTGGTCATGATGTTTCATCACAGAACTAGTAATCCTAACTAGGACACGTGCCAACACATCTTAAAGACACTGGTAACCGTGTTTGATACAGCGTCATTCCTTGCCAAGTTTATTTCATATACTATATAATATCTTCTAGAGTCATCCATGTTGCATTGAAAAGATTCCATTCCTTTTGAAGACTGAATTGTATTGCACTGTGATTAGATATGACATTTTCTTAAATCCAGTCAGGTGACAAGGAATGTTTAGGTTCCCTTCTGGATCTGGGTGTTATGAGTAACATTGCAGGGACCAGAGGTGCAAAGCTATCTCTCTGTCATACTAAATCAGAAGAGGAATTGTGAGATCCAAGAGCCATTCCGAGGTTCAGAGGAAGCCCTGTGCATT